GACCGGCTTAACAACAAATTTTTACTTTCTATTACAAAGAGTGAAGTTTTCGAAAATCTTCCACTACCAATATGTGCTCAAATATCCAAGGAGTTGTTAGATGATGGAACTGAAAAATTGCCTACCGATTGCTGCAGATTTTGTGGTATTAAACTCGATTTTAAAGCTTCAAAAATTCAAATCAGCAAACGAAGATGTCGGAGAAATAAAAGGTTTTTGTTTTAAAAAATTATTTGAAAAAAATTATTTTAAGTGCCAAAATAAAGGTAATTTGTCAAGGATGTCAAAAACCTGCATCGCATCCCATTAAGCTTCCCTCGCTTTTTTCATCAGATAAAAACGACGTATCTATTTTGGAAAAAACTATAGACGTTCCATCTTCCTCAAGATCAGCGCCAATTGAAATTGACAGAAAGTCAAACAAAAGTTCAAGGTTTCATATTTTGATTATTTGGATGTTTATTTAGTATTATTTTAAGTTCGAAAATGTTGAATGTTTCTCAATCGAATCAATTAAGCAAGGGAGTGACGCGGCGAACTTCCAAGGTCAATAAATTACATTTATTAGCATCAAAAAATAGTAAGCCAATTTGTAATTCACTTTCTTCTTTTCTTAAATCTTTTCAATAATGTAATTGTCCTATTTTTATGGAACTGTTAAAATTTTATTGAAAGGATTTTTCGACAAATTCTTTTATTGCATCAAAATTTCCTCCTGTTCGTCATAATAATCGAGCTCCATTCTTACATTTACGCTTAATAGTTTTCCTGAGTCAAAGAAGTAAATGCGTTCATCCGTGGGGTTGTAGCTTATCTGGGTCAAACCTTCATAGGGATTGTACCTAAAAAACACTTAAATAATCTCGATCAGTTCAATTTTAACCTACCAAGGAACATCGATGAATAGACTTTCATTTTCTGAAATTTTTTAATTAACTAAATAATTTAGGTATTTATTTTTAAAATTCTTTCTTTCCAAATCAAAGGCAAAAGAGATGAATGTCTCGCGATCTTTTGCATTCTCCAGTCCGTATAATACCTTTTTTAATAAATAATATTAAATCATTTTTTAAAGTATTTACCCCGCACATAACAAAAGCATCTGCTAATTCCTAATAAAACGAAAATTTTAGAAAGAAAAAATTTGGTGGTAATTTTAACCGTTCCATTAACGTCTAGCTCCCATGTAGCAATTACTAAAAGGTCCTAAACTTATCGAGGTTATGTTTTTGTTATGTTATAATTTTTGTTCTGACCTCTTCCACTTTACTGACCAATAGTCTTTCAGAATCAGGGCGCATATAAATAACCTGAACTTTTTTCTAAATTTTATTCATCTGAATACCCAAATCCCATTATGATCAACTGAAAAGTCCACATAATTATGGGATCGATTATAAAGCCATGGATGCCTTTCTGTTTCATTACATTCCTAAAATAGGTTTCAAATTCTTTTTCTCGCGTCTAATATGAAAATTACTATACAAAAATTCTTGCCTCAAAACTTTGATCATGCTTTCTCGGGCCTTAAAATAAGGAAAATCTGTTTATATTTTTCAATCTAGAATTTTTTACAATCTAGGTAAGATATTGGTCCAAGGGAATCACTCTGGATTTGTTCTGTAGTGTCCAAATCGTATCGAACCAAGATATTTGAGCCATGTCTATGATAATAGTACGAGGCGTTATTGACCATACTTCCTGTTCCAGCAGCCAAAAAATCCATATAATATCTTTTTAAGTTTTTAGGTATTAGATCACTAGAGATTGCTTAACTTTATATTTTGTTTTTTATTCAACAGCTCGCGTTCGTTTTCGTATTCATACTAAAATAGTTTGGAATCTATATTGCTATTAATATATTAGGTACAAGAACAGCAGATGCGAATGTATCAGTGACCCATCGTTTTCGTGCCCATTCTTCGTTACGTGGCATGGAATCTCGGAACCTGAAATTTTGTGTACATTACGGATTCCATCCTTATTTACCAGGAACCAGTAGCACCATATTGGGAGTCGGCATGCAGAACAGGAATGCCAACTGCATTCAACTTACATTCTAAATTTATTTTTACTTTCCATAAACCTATTTTAATTAACCTCGTTTTACTTGTTCGGTTGGTTCTTGTATTAATGTTGTCTGATTCATTGTCACATTCACCTCTACTCTGGGACTCCATTCGCGTGGGGGCGGTGTTGGCCCAGTAATAGTGTGAGATGATAAAGTAGGACGTTTCCGATAAGGACGAGTCCACCAGAAACGGAATGGACCTTTTGAGTGAATTACACCTGGCTTGGGGATAGGACGTGTGTGTGCTTTATCTGGCATTGGCATGCCCGGGCGCCATCCAAGTGGTGGCTATTTACAAAAAATTCATAAATGAAAAAGAAATTCCTTACGGCAAAGCCGGGTGGTGTTGGTTCGAACGGGACAAGTCTAAGAAATACCATTCAAATTTTTAAGTATTAGTCTCTTTAATTTATAAACTTAGTTATTTCTACTTCTTTGACTAACACAATTGGAACCGGTACGAGTTTGTCAACTGGAACAGGCGGCCCAGGGACGGGAATCCGATGAATGTATAAATCTGGCAATGAACAATTGCACTGTCCTGTGTAAATAAAAATGAACTAATTTTAACAATTATGAACCATTCTTTCCCTGCGGGCCTCTTTCGCCTGATTCACCAGCAACACCTTCTGGGCCTGACCGACCAGGCGGCCCTCGCTTTCCAGGAGGTCCAATTATTCCTGGTGGTCCTTTCACTCCAGGAGGGCCAGTCATTCCTCGCAATTTCTTCCCTTCATCTGCACAGTAGCGATGTACTCTTTGACAAGATATTTCAAAGACATTTTTCTAATATGAATCAAAGTTAAATAAGGCTAGAGTCTATCTTTTACAGGGATGATTGAATCATGTCCCAGTAACACGGTCCACTGGCTCAATTCATCATTTACAGCTGTTTCCAAACCAGCTTTTGGCGAACGTTTAACTCTTTGGATATTAGTTAATAATAATTTTTTATTCTCAATTTGTAACTCAAGTCGCTAAAAATACTAAGGTATCATTACTTTAACTCAGGGCTCTCATCGACAAAATGCCACTCAAAAGTATCAAAATCTTGATAAAAAAGTATATAGGGAGAAAATTTCCAAATTTAAAGTATACTCAAAATTAAATTGGAAAATATTTGTTCGTGCTCAAATCTTTTATATTTCTCTCTTAAATGAATCTTTTCTAATAATTTCTTGCTTCCATTGGGCATTTTGTGCATTTCAACGCATGACATGTCAAAATTCGCTGATACAAGAAATAAAGCCCTGACAGTCTTAACCTCAAGCTTTCGTCCATTTTCAGCGCCGCAGGCGAAAATTTTTTGAAATTTGGAGCCCAAGTAGTCAGATTTCTCCCATTTTCAGCGCCGCAGGCGAAAATTTTTTGAAATTTGGAGCCCAAGAAGCCAGATTTCTTTCTTTTTCAGCGCCGCAGGCGAAAATTTTGATAATTTCGAAGGCCCAAGGCTAAAAAAATTCACTTTTTTGCCCAATCCCTTCCCCAATTTCATTTTCAATCCAAAATGTTGATTTTAAAGTATATACTTTCAATAAAGTATAAATTCAATTTCTTAAGTATGGAGGTCGGTTTCAAAGTATAATACTTTCAAATAAAGCACGAATGAGAGCCCTGCTTTAACTTCATATAGGATTACCCAAATTTTTTGATAAACGTGTCCATAGAATAGGAGTAAACAAATTAAATGAAATAATTGCAAACATGTACAGAAACTATTTTGTTGGAATTTTTCTATCATTTGGAGGACTTTAATAAAAACAGCAAAATATTTCTGCAGTAAAATGAAAGAGGCCAAATAAACAAACAAAATCATAATTTTTGGAGCAAGTTATACAATTTGTCAGCTGAAATTTTATAGCCTGGGGTGGTGGGGGTGGTCAAAAATTTTTATTTTAAATGTTAAAAAATAGTCATTGGCGTTTTGTCATTTTATGAGTTTTTGGAACGTGCTATTGAGTCCCGCCGTTGAGAGACTCAATCAACAGCGCTAAAATGGACCGGATTCTCAACCTTAGAGACTCAAATGTCGAGACTCAATTAACCCCGCCAATAAATTTTCCATTTAGTCCAGTGATTTTTTGTTCGTAAAAACTTTTTTTGCAGATTTTTCAAGTGATTTTGTTAAGATTAAATGACTTCACATGGTGAATGTGCTGGATTAGGGAAAGGACAGTGGAAAGAAGAGGATTTTGCAAACTTTTGGGATCATTATAATATTGCACAAAAATGGATTGGAATTGAGGTTTATAAAATATTTTATTTTAGTTTTTTTATTTTTAGGCAAGGGCACGTGAGATGGCATGGAAACATTGGAACAATGGACGTGTTAATAATGATGCTCCACAAAGCAGTAAAAGCATGCAAAGTCTTTCAGATTCTGATTTGACTCCAGAAGTGGTCGACTTTTTGCGTAAATCCATTGATCATCGCAAACAACGTTTGTTTTCTTTTTAAAATCCTTTTCAATTAACACAACAAATTTAAGGTGATGAACATAAACGGATTGAAACAGCGCTTGCTAATTCTATGAATAAAGGGTTGGAGTATCGTGATGCTACTACTGGTATATTAGCAAGATATTCAAAATTTATAAAACTAATTTTAGTTGGACGGTTGGGAAATTTTCGCTCATCAAATCGGTCAACCATGTCTCATCAGAATGGCCAAAAGAAAGCACTTTATGGGGAGCCAGCTTTTTTGAAGTTGAGAGAGCAGGAATTGTCAATTCAAGAAAATTTTAATAAGCAAGTAAATGAAAACAAGCCACAAACTTGGCCTAATATTCCAATGCGCTTTTGATTTATTTTCGTTAAATTTTACTAATAAATAAATATTTTTTGAATTAGTTTGAATTTCTACAATGTTTTGAACAAAAATTTTATTTTCCTAGAATTAGTTTTAATTTTTCAAAGTTTTTTTTGTTAAAATGGTTCTTCAAACGGCATTGAATTATCTTAGTCAGGCAAGCTCTCAATTTGGACTGTCAGCTGATCAACATGCTTTAATTGGTCAAACTATTGAGGTTGGCAGTGAATCGTATACTGTTCGGTCTTTAATTGCTGAGGGCGGTTTTGCTCTTGTGGTATCTAAAATCTTAATTTTGTTTAACATGTGTTTTTAAGTTCGCTGTACAAGATGTGAGGAATGGTGAATGGTTTGCGCTAAAAAGACAACTGGCTCATGATAAAGCGACAGCAGAATCAGTTTTGCGTGAGATGAGATTTATGAAACAAGTTGGTTATTTGCTGTAAATATTTTATTTAATAATCTGATTAGTTGAATGGACATCCAGCAATTGTACATTTTGTTCATTCAACGCAACTTGACGGCTCAAAAACTATGCAAAGGCATCAGCAATGTTATGCCGAATTTTTAATTTTGACTGAATTGTGCTCTGGTGGCCCTCTAATTGACTATTTACAAAAGATGGAATTGAGCACAGAACAAATTTGTAAAATTTTCTATTCAACTTGCTCTGCTGTTCAACATATGCATGATCGCAATCCACCTATTACACATAGAGATATTAAGGTTTATATTGAATTAGATTCTTTTATGATTCCTTTTTTAGATTGAAAATCTCCTTTTTGACTCTCGTGGCTTTATTAAGCTTTGTGATTTCGGAAGTGCTACAACTGATATTTACAGACCTAAGGATGATTGGAACGCATTAATGCGCTCACAATTGGAAGAGGAGGTTTATAAATTTATCTTAAATCTGACTAATAACTGACATTTTAGATGTCAAAACAACACAACACCAATGTATCGTGCACCTGAGATTTTAGAAACATATCAAAACTATCCGATAGGGCCTGCGCAAGATATTTGGGTATTTTTAATTTTGGCGTCTTTTGATAATATTTAACTTATTAAAGGCTCTTGGTTGTGTACTTTTCTATATCTGCTTTAAAGTGCATCCGTTTGAAGATAGTGCTAAACTTAGAATTATAAACGCAAAATACTCAATAACTAGCAATTCTCCATTTCGAATATTTCACGACTTAATTAGTAATCTCAGAACTCTAATAAAGCAATGATTTTTTTGTTTACAGAAATAACACTTCAACCTGATCCGTACTCCCGTCCTACAATTCAAGATTTGTGTGAACAGGTTAATACATTTTCAATTTTAACTCATGTTGTATTAAGGTTGAAGATATTGCTATGGCTTTAAATGTGAATCTAAACGAGCCTGTTATACCATCTGATAGATTGGACTCTTTGATACCTAAAAATGAGTTTTCTGCATCTACACAATCATTGGCAAGCTATTATTGTTATTTAGACTAATGTAAGCATGAAAATTTTGTTTTTGTAGTACGGCCAGTCTGTTAAGTTTTTCGATCGTGGGATGAATTTAATTAAGACGATTAAAGAGAAGACTCCAGTCACAAATTTATCTGGTTACTTTTTTAACTTTTACATATTTAATTGTAAATATTTTTCAGAACATTTGAAAACTCAATTGGGATTTGAAGCAACTCAACCTGACCCAGCTAAATCTAATTCAAACCTAGAGAGAAAAGCACCGCCTCCAAGACCTCCTGCCCCATCTTTATTTAAAACTCGAACTGTTCAATTAACACACGAAGATCCACAACTGAATTTGCATCCAAAACTAGAAGCTATTGCGACAGGTATGAATGATCATCCTTTCGGAAACGATTTGAATAAGAATATTGTTGGAGAGAAAAGAGATGATGTTTTGATATCAGCTTGGGAAGATGATGACAACATTCTTAATGGTTGAATTAAAAATATTCTTTATTCACAATCTTATTTTTTAACAGAAATCGAGACAGCTTCCATACCCTCTTTTCAACAAAAATTAATTGATATTCCGGCAACTAGCGAAACTTTTACAAGCAATATTACTTGTTCAAATTTACTTGACGAATTCAATTCTATATTTCCTCCAACTTTGAATCAAAATTCTTCTAGAAATTCAGCTAAAAATAAAAGTATTGATGATTTGCTTAATTTAGTGGATCAGGAAATTACTACAAAAACGGAAACGGCAGCATCCACTGGACCATCAATTCATCACAACAAATCCACTCCAGATTTTTTGTTCAACGAAGAAAACAAAATGGGCAATGAATCTACTACTAAATCTGCCAATGATATTCTTGATGAATTTCTGTCTTCAACAAACTTGTCATCAAATAATGTTTTATATATTTTTGAGAATTTTAAATATCTTTTTAGGAAATTCCAAGCACTTCAAAGCCAGATTATTCAAGTATACATTTTACAAAAATAGAAGGTTTATCTTACTTGTTAAATTGAAATTTAACATTTTTTAGCCAAACAAACTTCTGAAAATGTAAAAAAGACGTCTTTAAATTTTGATGCATTTGATGATTTACTTTCTGCGCAAGGGTTTATTTCATCATCAAAGCAATCAAACAAAACACTTTCTGCTATGGTTAAAGAACGAGATGCTAAGGGAATGGATCCTTTAGCTTTAAAGGTCTCTTTTAAGTTGGTTCAAATATCTTTAATTGTTCTTTTTTCAGATAAAAGATTGGACGGATGGGAAGCAAAGAAATATTCGAGCGTTATTAGGCTCTTTATCTCTGATTCTTTGGGATGAAGCTAAAATTGTTTGGCAACAACCGAGTGTTGCTGAATTATTTGCTCCAGACAAGGTAACTTTTAAAATGTTATAATTTTTAAATTTATTTTTTGTTTAAAGGTGAAGAAATATTACAGGAAAGCTTGTCTAGTAGTACATCGTTAGTTTTTTTTATAAAATATAAATAATTAAAATTTTCTTGTTTTACAGCTGATAAACAAGCAGGAACGATAAATGAGCCTCTTGCTAAAGCTATTTTTACAGAATTAAATGATGCTTGGAATGAATTTACAAAAACAGCATTTTAATTGAATAAAGACATTGACCTTCTTTTATTGACTTTCTGTTTTTCACTTTGGCTCAATTTCTTTCAGATTCTTTTATAGATATTTTCTTTGATGATTTGTTGTATGATTATTTTTAATTATATAAATTAATTTTTTGTCTATTTTTTGTACTAAAACATTTAATTATTGACCCTTTGAGGTTACTTTATGTAGTTATCGACAATATTTTATATTTTGAAACTACTGGAACGACCTAATTACAATGACTTCAGAAAGTGAGGCTGATTCACCAACTTCAAGTACTAGCAAGTCGCGCGGTCTTTCATATTCTGATACATTTCCTCGTCATCATCACTCGTTATCAAACTCGTCATCGTCAAGTAAGGTTTATTTTTAATCTACGCGTATATTTATTATTCTGTAGGTAGTCTCTCTCAGAACGGACAACAACACATTGCGTCAACGCTTGTAAAACAATTGTCGCCTTCCACTCGTTTTGCATTCACTGATTTAATTATAACGATATTGTAAAACAATTCTTACTTTAATTTTAAAATCCTTTATTTTAGGAGGTTGGATTTTTATAAAAAATCTGCCGATGGACAATCAACGTAAGAATTAAACTTACTTATTTTTCAAATCTTTAAATTTAGAATTTTCTGTAACAAAGCACTCGACGTGTTGTTTAAATGGGGAAACCTTCCTGTAAAAACTCAGAATTCATTGAGATTACACATTGAGGTTTTTCTAATTTATATGAAAATTTTGTTTATAACTTCCTAGGAAGCAACCGCTTTTAATGAGGATATTGCTGCATTGATTACTTGTAAGTGGACTACTAACAATTCGAAATAAAATTCAACTTTTAGCCATCAAGTCAGATCCATTTTTGCAGAAGCATGGTTGTGTACCTCTTTTGGGATCTTTTCTCCTTGCAATTATTGTTGATGGTGATTATGATTCTCGGTTTCGTGTGCTCCTTCGTCACATCTCTGCATTGTTAGGCGTACATTGGGACGTGTTTGAAGAAGTATTTGTTTGAAACTAAATTTTTCATAAGCGCAAAAGCCTAGAAAATTGTTATTCGTTTTTCAGTTTGAATCGACTTTGGGTGATCAACTTGTAACAGAGTATAAAGAATCTATGTAATTATGTATTAGCAATTCTACAATTAGAATTTTTTATTTCAGGGAGAATCAACAAATTCGTGAGAAGAAATCCAAATTGAGAAAATATAAACGCTACGCAATTATTGGGGCTGCTACTGGCTTGGGTGGTGTTCTAATAGGTTTTTTAATTTTATAAATGTAGAATTATTTCTTTTGATAAAAAGGTGTTACTGGTGGTTTGGCTGCGCCATTAATTGTTGCCTCTATTTCCGCTCTTACGGCTACAACGATATTTGCTGGTTTAACTGGAACTGCAATTACAGCTATTTTTGGATCATTATTTGGTGTAGCTGGTATTTTATATATTTAAAGTCGATTAAAATTATTTTCTTAAAGGAGCTGGTTTAAGTGGTTATCGAATGCAGAAGCGTGTTGGTGATATTGAAGAATTTACCATTGAACGACTAACCGAAGAGGAGAATAGAGCTTTGCATTGTGTGCTCTGCGTTTCTGGATGGATTGAAGATAGAGAATCTCAAGCTTTTCGTACACATTGGCGTCATCTTTGGATGAGTAAGGAGCAATATACCTTGAGATGGGAAAGCAAGGTTTTTATCTTTTAGTCGTAAATTTATATAATTGTTGTTTTTAGTATTTAGAAGAACTTGGAAAAAGTATTGAATACTTTGTTTCATTCGTAGTTAGTTATGCAGTACAGCGCTCTCTGATGGAAACTGTTTTGGCTGGTTTGGTTTCAGCCATTGCTTGGCCACTTATTTTACTGGGATCTTCTTCCATTATTGATAATCCTTGGAACATTTGTACAAAAAGAGCTGCTGAAACTGGAGAACATTTGGCGGAAGTTTTGCTCACAAGATCCCATGGTCGAAGGCCTATAACACTAATTGGTTTTTCACTTGGTGCACGGGTTATTTATCACTGCTTAATGGAAATGAATAAACGCAAACCTTATTCACTTGGTAATAATTATACTTAAATGGGATTATAAATTGATTATAAATTTCTCCATTACAGGTATAGTTGAAGATGTTATTTTGCTTGGCGCTCCAGGTTTACCTTCAAACAATAATATCTAATTTTAATATAACGCTTTAAGTTTCTGCTTCACCGTCTCAATGGCGTCAGATTTGCTCAGTAGTCGGCGGCCGTGTAATAAATGGTTATTGTAAAACTGACTGGCTTTTACGTTTTCTTTATCGGTTTTTTAACCTTTAGATTATTTGATAATTTGTTCGGTTTAAGCACAATGAGTGTACAATTTGTTATTGCAGGAACAGGACCAGTTGATAACAAAAATGAACGAAAAATCGTCAATTTCAATCTTTCACATATTGTATGTTTTCCTTTTAAATTGTAATTAAACATATTTTAAGGTGAAGGGACATATGGATTATTCCAAGGTTGATTATTAGTTATAAATTATTTCATTTTATTTTTTGTCAGAAACTCACCAGAGTTCTTGAATCTGTTGGTGTTCGTGTTGCACCTCTTTCAAAAGAATCGAGGCAAGATTTGGAACGATTTGAAGAATTACAACGAAAATTACAAAATGGCGCGAAGCTGACCTCTTCTTTATCGGTTCCAAATTTATCTACACTAGATGAAGAAAAGTCTTCAATAATTCTCGAACAATCAAAAGAATTGATCAGCAAAGAAGACGGAGATTATGAAGGAGAGGATGAAGGATTACGGCTGAGAGGTGATCCCCTCGGCGTAAGTGAGTTACGAATAAAAAGGACACATTCATTGGCGAGTGCTGAAACATTTCATTCGGCTATGTCTACTTTAAATTAATAAAAATATAAGGTTTATTCTTTATTGTCCCTCCGCTCTTAATTTCAGATTTACCTTTGTGATATTTCTTTACTTAAACATATTATACTTATTCACTTGTGCCTTTTTTGAAAAATTAATAAATCTCTTCCCCTAACTTTTATTTTTTTTCATGTTTCTATTCTTTTAATTACTTAATCTTGACATGATTTCATTGTCTAATTATTAGTTTTCAGTTATTTATTTCCAATAATGTCAGAATTTGAACACCAAAGTGGAAAACCTCTAGACTGTTTGTGTATGGCTCTTAAAATATACAAACAAGAAGTAACCCTTCGATCTGGCGAGAAAATATATAAAATTGGGATGAGCATTGGTGGTGGAATTGATCAGGATTGTAGCAAGTCAATCTATAAGGATAATGTAAATAATTAAGTTTATAAAATAACATTTTTTATATTCTAGGGGATTTATGTAACACAAGTCGAGCCTGATTCACCGGCTCAGAAAGCAGGTCTGAAAGTGCATGATAAATTGCTTCAAGTTAACAGGATTGACTATGTAATGGTTATTTTTAAAAATTCAAAAAAAAAAAATAATTTTTCAGACAATGATTACACACAGGTTTTCTTTTTTATTCGATGTAAATACGTTATTTATACAAATAGTCGAGCCGTGAAGTACTTGTCAAAGGATGCTGTTCTGGATGTTTTGGTTGCGAGATCCAAAGAAGGATAAATGTTCTGAACCTAATTACATAATTCCTAGCAATATGTGCAAAATATCGTGGGGTATGTTTTTATACATTAATAAAGTAATTTATAAATTGTCCATTAATTATTTTAATTTTCTGACTAAAGAGAGATGAGAAAAAACTTGTTTGATAAATTTAGTAACAGGGTTTCCGTCATCTGGGCTGGTTTTAAATTTTCCTAAATAGTAAAAGCTGGTATAAACGTTGGTGGCATAGTAACATTAGTTGCTTCAAGTTGTTGATTGGAAGTGAGAATCACTCGGTTTTTAAGTTGTTCAAATGGTGTAGTCATCTTTGTTTTAATTTTTTGTATGAGCATATCAGGTACCAGGAAGCTAACACGTTGTAATTCGTTTCTTATTTGAGTCCTGAATTGTTTGCAGATTAATTTTTGTCGTTGAAAGGACTTCAGGAAGACATGCAAAAATTTAACCCTGGTTTTGAAATGGTCTAATATTTGGACAACCCGGAAGTTTCCACGTTAAGAAAAAATTTACTGTGCTCCTTCTTTTGCTGCAATTTCCAAAGCATCCTCTAGAGATGATAGAAAAACTTTGCCACTTATGCGTTTTGTAACGTTTCTTTGAAATAACCATGCCTTGTCTTCCTCATCTGCCACATAACGAAACAATCGAGGATATTTTCCAAGCAAGTGACCACGTGTAGAAGTAAATCCTAGCAGTTTATTCAATTTGGAAATAAGAACAAATGGAGAATCATTCGAAAATCGTTTTGGATCCCACTTAAAAAAATTTAAAAATATTTTCAGTTTGACAAATACCTTTAAAGCTTCTGCATGTGTTATAGGTTGTCTTCCATTCATTACTGGAGTACCACTTCGTCCCGTATCCAAATCAATCTTTTTGGGACGACCACGCTTCTTTGGGCGGTCTTAAAAACCAGGGAAGTTACAAATCAGCTGGGCCATTTTAAAATTTATATAAAACCTGAAAGAGACGAATGAGCGTTTTGTAATGAAGAATTGTAACTAATCAAGCTTCCGTCACTTTCATTATCACTATCATATAAGTGCGACATTTCAGTTTGCATTTGTAACTCAGATAAATTGTGTTTAAGTAAAGCGGTATATGCCTAAAAATACAATCACAAATTAAAATTAAATGGTTCTAACCGGAACGCATTTTCTGTTTCCCTCCTCACTTTCTTTCTGTTGCGAATCAAATAACGTTTTGGCGCCATCCAAAATAGAAATGCACAATTTATTGACATCATCTTCTGATACTTCCTTTAAATTAGATTTAACTAGTCAAAAAATTGTGTAAGCTCACATGGCCGTTCCTTCGCAAATTTTCAAAAGCAGGAGTAAACGTCGTTCGGAGATGGCGGTCAATAACTTGCTGCAAGTTATGAATTTACTTGTAAATATTACTAATTTTATTACCTTTATTTCTTCATTGAAGTCAGGTTGAAATACCTTTAAAATGGTCAGTATATATTTTTCCGCCTTCAAACCCCCTCTAACTACCTTAGAATAACCAAACTTTATACAAACCTGTCTAAGTACATCCAGCGATTTAGTCGTATCTATAATTAAATGCATACTAAAAAATAAAAAAATGAAAAATTTAACCATCGGCCATGTCAGATTTGTTTCGGCGTAGGGCTTGCCTTAATGAATTTGTTGTGGCAGTCGTATCATCACCAGATGCAGAAAGAAGATTTTCGAGAATTTCAATACGTCTATTTAATTTATTTCCATTACAATTCCCAGGAAGATAAACAGCTTCGGAATCACAATCACGCATCTGGAATTGATCTCTTCAGTTGAAATTTAGCCTAGTTATGTTTTAATGCTAGGACTCTCACGACCCTTAATTTTTCCGGAAAAGAACGATTCAGTATTGCCAATTCAGTCTAGAGGCAATATTTGGGCCATAATTTTTTTGATTCCAAACCGATTTGAATGACTATTATATCATTCAAAAGTCCTTGATGTGTGGATCATTTTTTCTAACAGGATTGGGTTGATCAGATCATGTGCACAATTAGTTTTGCGTTAACTTTCGGCCTGCCGTTGCGTTCTTGAAGTGACTCTCGTGCACTCCGCTTTTTAAATACTCTTGTTTGTAATTTCCTTTTTCGAGACTCGTTTGTACTTGTTTACGATCGAAGTATTGTTTATTTTCGTTCCATTTCAGACTATTTATTTGTGAATGCATGCAAACACTTTTACAAATTGATTGTTAAAAATTATATAGTTTTTAAATGCCGTGTTAATTGCTCTTTTAACAAGAGAAAAACAGACTTTTCTTTGATGTTAAAAATAAATCCTGTCTAATTAAAATTGTTTCTTGGACATTAAATTTACCCATGGTAACCTGCTGACAAAAATTAATTACCTCTCGCGCCCTTTCCGTTAACTTTCACAAATAATAATTTTTTACCTCTTCCTATTTAATTATTTTTTTTATTTTTAGTAAAATGAGCCAAATATTAAACATTCCACGTTCATCATTACAACTTTTAACTATTTCTTTGCTTATTTTCTTCACAATTGTTGCTATTCATTCACAATTATTTTATGAAAAAGCTGACGAGAATGTATCCACTGATAGGCTTCATCCAGCAAATACTGATGAGCTTAACAAATGCCTTTCACCAGATTTAGAGGAACAAGTTGTTTAATTTTGATTTTTTTTATAAATTTATCATTTAGGAGAAAAGTCAATTTCGGTTTTTTGCCGCTGTTATTGATGCTGGCTCTACGGGAACAAGGTTTATAACGATTATATATTGCATATTCTTGAATTCTTTTTAGACTTCATATCTTTGAATTCAGTCATGATACAGCAAAGGATCCTAGCACATTTAAGTTAGAGGCTGAAACATATAGAGAGGTTAGTTTGTTAGTTTCGATAAAATCCTTGGTTCAGTTGGATAGTGTTTAGATTTGCACCATCTAATTACTGGGTTCGAATTCTTTTAGTAAAAAACAATTTTTGCTGGAGCAGCCGATTTACCCGCGATTTCATTATATTTTAAACTAATTCTGTCGAAGCATGTTAATCCTTTTTACTTTTCTAGACCAAACCAGGAGTATCTGCTTTCGCAAAAACACCAGAACAAGCAGCAGAAAATATTCGAGTTTTGTTACTTATAGCAAAAAAGCACATTCCTGAAGAGCTTTGGGCAAAAACTCCAATTACGTTTCGGGCAACTGCTGGTGTTAGGCTTTTGAATGATAAAGAAGCTGAGGGATTACTTTCCCATGTGAGTATTTTTCTTAATTTTAATTTATCTTTTTCTGTCAGATTGAAACTGAAATAATGTCGAGTGGTTTGTTAGTTGATGATGATGCTGTTGGAATGTTGAGTGGAACTGATGAAGGAGTTTTTGGGTGGTTTACTCTCAACTTTTTACTTCAAAAGCTCGACAATGTATTAAATGGAAGTGAGTAAATATGTTTACACGGAGAGGTTGCGAGGTGTCCGAGCTAAAAACGGTCGAGACCGGGCTCATTCGATAGAGAATATGCCCTTTCTAGCAAGGATTTTTTGCCGTTTTTGCCCGTTTTTTGATCTGGCCAAGATATGGCCCTCCAAAGTCCCAAAATTTGGCATAATTTTCCCCCTTCAAATATAAACATTAAATAATGATTTAATTTTGTTGGCGTTGTGGTGTAGTGGTGAGTGTGCTTGACTTACTCTTTTTCTCTAAAAAGTTCGATTCTTTTTGGGTTTTATTATTTTATCTAACTGTTTTAAACATTATTTATTCCTTTTCCAACAAAAAAAATTTTTTTTGTTTGAAAAAAATTTTTTAAAATTTTTTAAAAATTTTTAAAAAATTAAAAATAATTTTTTTTAAACTAGATTTGTTATAAAACTAGAATTTACTACAGCTGGCACATAAAATAAAACTATTCCAAACAATTAGGTGTATTACATCCAAAAGAAGACGATAATGGATGATCGAATTCTCCCGGAGAATCTTCTCCTCTCCACCCAATAACTCGTCAGAATAATGTTTTTAAAAAATTTTTTTTTATTTTTAAAAATTTTTAAAAAATTTTAAAAATTTTTTTCAAACAAAAAAAATTTTTTTTTGTTGGAAAAGGAATAAATAATGTTTAAAACTAGGGTTGGTCCCCGAGCCTTCGGGGTTGAAAAAGTCGGGGGTCGGGGTTTTCGGGGTTGACAACGTCGGGGTCGGGGTCGGGGTTGCTCAATTTGTTCGGGGTCGGGGTCGGGGCTGAAAATAATGTCGGGGTTCGGGGTCGGGGGTCGGGGTTGTAGTGAAAATTTACAAAATCCAGCATTTTCATCCAACATTACTGTTCAAAATCAACATTTTTATTAAAAAAATCAACTTAATCTTCATTATCTTCACTTTCTATATCTAATTCGTTATTAGTTGAAGGCGCAAGAATTACTTTATCCAAGTTATCCTTCATAATCACCAAAATCCCCAAACCCACAAGGTAACTCTTACTCCCCCTCTTATGTAAAGGGGTTGAGGGGATATGAAGGCGCCGCAGGCAAAAATTTTGAGAAGCGCCGCAGGCAAAAATTTTGAGAATTTTGGAAGGTCAAGAGCCAGATTTCTTCTATTTTCGGCGCCGCAGGCAAAAATTTTAAGAATTTTGGAAGGTCAAGAGCCAGATTTCTTCCATTTTCGGCGCCGCAGGCAAAAATTTTGAGAATTTTGGAAGGCCAAGAGATAGATTTCTTCCATTTTCTGACCCAAGGCAAAAATTTAGGAAAATTCATGACTAGTTAAAATTTCTAATATTGTTTCAAGTTTAAAATATTAAAAAAATAAATTTGCAAATTTAAAATCAAGATCAAAGTTTAAAAATATTTATTTTTGAGAAGAAAAACTTTCTCAGCCTCATTTCCATCCATGGATTCGAACAACATCCCTATCAAAATAGCTAGATGGGTGAAGTCAGTTAACCTAACCACACAACCACCGACCAACATAAGGAAACAGGAGAAAATACAAATATTCCTTTCCCTTTTCCTTCATATATTTAACATCAAAGTCCCGATCCCGTTCCGATCTCTAGTTAATTAATGCAGTTTGAGTCGGGGGCATAAAAATTTTTCGGGGTTCGGGGTCGTCGGGGTCGAACTATCGGGGGTCGGGGTTTTCGGGGTTGGGAATGTCGGGGTCGGGGTCGGGGTTTTAGGTCAAAAAATGTCGGGGTTCGGGGTCGGGGTCGGGGTTAGTCGGGGTCGGGGACCAACCCTATTTAAAACAGTTAGATAAAATAATAAAACCCAAAAAGAATCGAACTTTTTAGAGAAAAAGGGTAAGTCAAGCACACTCACCACTACACCACAACGCCAACAAAATTAGTCCATTATTTAATGTTTATATTTGAAGGGGGAAAATTATGGCAAATTTTGGGACTTTGGAGGGCCATATCTTGGCCAGATCAAAAAACGGGCAAAAACGGCAAAAAATCCTTGCTAGAAAGGGCATATTCTCTATCGAATGAGCCCGGTCTCGACCGTTTTTAGCTCGGACACCTCGCAACCTCTCCGTGTTAGATCTAAAATTATTTTTTTAGGTGGAAAAGCAGCAACTGCGCTTGATCTGGGCGGTGGTTCAACACAAGTTACTTTCATACCCAGCGATTTTAATACTGCTATGCGTGGCCTTCATCGTCAAAAATATTCACATCGTCTCAAAATTTTTGAGAAAGAGCTTCGCCTTTATACTCATAGGTTATTTTTAAACTTTTTTTTGTAAGCTAAATTTATTTTAGTTATTTGGGCAATGGACTTGTCGCTTCTCGTTTAGGAATTGCCAAGTTGTCTTCTCCAGATTGGAGTCCGGGAGGTGCTCCAGCACTTAAAACACATTGTTTGCCAAAGAAGTTTATATTGGATGATTTTGATTATGCGGGCAATGTTTGGTTAATTAGGTTTTTTTATTACAAACTGAAAAGTTCTAAAATCTTTATCCTTTTTTAGTGCAACAATCGATGCAAGTTTTGAAAATTGTTTGGAAACAGCTAAACATTATGTAACAAATCTTACTGATATTAAGCAAATTAAATTATTGGTGGACGAGGAAGATCTTTATTTATTTGGATATTTTTATGATCGTGGGTTACAAGGAAATATAGTTGAATATACTTTGGAACAAATTGGAGGAGAAGCAAAAGTTGGCGATTATAAAATTGCTGCTGAAAAAGGCAGGTTTTTTATCTAGATTATTTTTTTATGGACTTCCCCATCCTGAAGACATTTTTTAAACTTCTTTCTTCAACCTCAGGACTAATAATCATTTTTAAGCTTGTGCTATGCCATCAGAAGCCATCGGGCCTGAACCATGGCAACCGTGGCAATGTCTTGATTTAACATATATTTATACACTTTTACATTACGGATATGGATTGCCTGATGACAGGAAAATCAATGTAAATGAGATAAAATTATTTTAAATTTAATTTTTTTAGTTAGTGAAAAAGATTCGTTCAATGGAAGTTTCTTGGGCATTGGGTGCTGGTTTTCATCTTCTAAATTCTTATCATGAAAATAAATTGAAAGAATCTCGTGATGAGAGGCAGCGACAATTGAAAGAAGCTTTGGAACGTGATCGTGAGGTTGATAAATATATTTTTAAAAATAAGTTTTTAAAAAGTTATTTTTAAGGATTTGGAAGCTCGACGCAAAGCAATTGAAGAAAAAGAGGCAGCCACGGATAAAAGATTGGCCTCTTTGTCAACGCTGGCGAAGATATTTCATTGGTTTAGTGATTGGATGACGCATTTGCTCACATCGCTTAATTTGATTTCATGAAGGAATAATATTTATTGAAAATATGAAGGCTCATGTACTTATTAAAAAGATTTTAGCCGTTTTTTTTTATAAATTATTGGATTACGACATTTTCTAAACATTTCCTTCTTTTAGCCTGCAATAGATTTTATGTGTTTATCATTTATGCTTCGTTAAATAAATATTTTCCATTTATTTCTCATTTGGGTTTTTTACAACGCCTTAAGGTGATAATTTTTTAGATATTAGGACTCTAGTATTCCCTTTAAAGTTTTTTGACGAAATGTAGTAATATTGAATGTATTAAGTAGAGAAATAAATGTTGAAGATAGTGTGTGAGTAGAGATATAATTTTTTAAATAAATGACACTTTGTCCCTTAGTTTAGAGAAGAATAAAAAGAAAATGAATGGTTAGAGAATACATCAAATACTAGGTCGGTTGAGTGCCAATTTCTCAGAGGGAAAAGCTTACTGTATTCGATAAAAACGTTTTAATTTGTTAGAAAAGTATTTAATCAATTAGCTTGGACTTGTTCTGATTTTGTCGTGATAAAGTCCTATGTTTTAAAAATCCACCGCTGTAGATAATTAATCTCTCAAATTAAAAGAGTCCAAAATTTTCTTTTCAATTCCTTTATATTATGGTTAATCAAGTTTAAGGTATCATGTTAACAATGTTTTTTTGGCCGTTTTTTGCCGCCAATTTGGCCTTACGGTCTTTTATTACAGAAATCTTTTAATTACTCGGTCTTTTAACCCCTTTTTGGCCTTACCGGTCTTTTATTGCACCGGTCTTTCAATTAATCGGCATTTTAACCCTTTTTGGGCTTCCGGTTTTTTATTAAAACGGACTTTTAATTAATCGATCTTCTAACCCTTTTTGAGCTACCGGTCTTTTATTGCACCGGTCTTTTAATTTATCTGTCTTTTAACCTATTTTGGTCTTTTCGGTCTTTTAATGCAACGGACTTCTATTTTTTCAGTCTTTTTTTACCCTGTTTGCCCTTTCTAATCTTTTAATGCAACGGTGTTTTTATTACCCGTGCCCGCTCAAAACATCAAACTCTTAAAATATCTAGACGAGTAAAAAAGCTCAAAATATCTAGACGGTTAAAGAATCTCAAAATATCTAGACGGCTATAAAATCTAAAAATATATTTTCTTAAAACGTCAAACTCTTAAAATATATTTACGGGTAAAATATCTCAAAATATCAAAATATATTTTTTCAATTAAAAGGGACAGTTGAGTCCGCAGAAAAAAGTTTTCGCCGCTGCGGAGGAAGCCGGGCATGTCGAGCGGAACGACGGCCGCCGCTTCGCTACGGTCGCCGCGAGCGAAGCGAGCACGACCGCAGCGAAGCACGGCCATCGTGTAGCGAAGACCATGCCCGGCCTACCCTCCGTAGCAGCACAAAAACAGTTTTTCCAGCGAAGATTCTGTTGGTCATAACTTTGTTCAGAAGCGTCCAATCGAGCTGATTTTGGTTTCACTTGATTCAGCTCGTCGAACTCATGCAAAATTGGTCCTGAAGTACTACATCTTAAAATATATTCACCCCTGATACAAGGAAGAAATATGGGACTCAACTGTCCCTTTTAATTAAAAAATATATTTTGATATTTTGAGATATTTTACCCGTAAATATATTTTAAGAGTTTGATGTTTTGAGAGAATATGTTTTGAGATTTTTTACTCGTCTAGATATTTTGAGAGTTTGATGTTTTAAGAATTTATGTTTTGTATGGGAGCCTTATTACCCGGTCACTTGTATGCCCAATCTTTCCCTTAAGTTAGAGAAAAATAAAAAATATGTGGTTTAATTTCAAATACAATTTCAAATACAGTAACTTCGCACTCTCTGAATCCAGCACTGAAGCGACCTAAACATTTGATATTTATTTTTTTCTCTAGCTCCACTATTTGTTTTATAGAATTTCTCTAACTCTTGGGACAAAATGTCATTTATTTTTAACATTACATCCCAACTTCTCAACTCCCTCAAACATTTTCTTTCTCTACTTGCTACATTCCACCTTGCTTTAAAAAAGAGTAAGAGTAGTTCTCAATACAAAAAGGAATACAAGAGTCTGATAACATGAGAAATGGTCTCTTTGGAATTTGATGAGGGTATAAGACCGTTAAATCCTTCAAGAAATCGATTTAAATTTAAAGTCCTCGATACATAAAATTTAATGAAAAACGGTAATTCAACAACAACAAATTCATTTTTATTTATGCAAACAGATAAAATTTAGTTAAAAACAAGCAAAATTTAAATGATGATTGTATAGTCAAAATTAAATTTGAAAATAAACCGTCAATTTTTCTTCATTTTTGAGAAATGTCGAAGATTTTTAGGTTAATTCGACTATCTAATTAAAAACAAAAAAAATTTGAAAAAAAACTATGTTTTAGTCACCATATTCGTTCATAAATCCAATTTTTTCTTTTATGCCAACACTTGCTTCTTTTATAATTCCATCGCTTCTTCAAAGAAACAAAAAGGCCAGGAATTTGTTGTTGAAGTTGATGACGAGGCTTGTGTAGTACTAAAAAGAAAATTAAGAAAACTAATGGAAAAATAGGAAAGAATGCCTAAAAGTCGGAAAGGATAAGTCGAAAAGGGGAAGCTTAACAAAATACCGATAGACCAAAAGTGAAAAAAATGTCTAAAAAGGAATAATGGACAGTAACGAAAAACTGGAGAATGTTGTGACACAGGGTTTATGGTGGCACACACGATTTTGATGAGGTGTTATTCGAAAGAGCTTGGCGAGCTGATTCATAGCTCGGGGGAAGAGGCCGAACGGACGTTTAGGGGACCGAGTTCAGTTTCCAAATTTCAAGGGGGGGGGGCTATAGCCCTAGAAGCTCCCTGGCTACGCCCTTGACTTATAGGATGGCCCTAACCATTTATCCCATATCGACTCATGTCAGCTCGACGAGCTTTTTCTAATGACTTATAATTTGTCGAAATCGGATAGACAAACAAAAACCTCCCTACAAGTCACAATCCCAAGGGAAGCAACCGGACGGAGATTTAAACACCCATAACAGAGATTCTTTAAATTAGTAAGCTCCAAAAGGGACAGAACTTGAAAAATATAAACAATTATGGAAACCTAATAATCAAATTAATCAATTAATTTGCAAACCTAATTTTCTGAATTCTAACAAAAGATTGCAGTTCTTCGGTCATTTTTTCTGCTGATTCTTATTCTTCCAAAGCATTCTCATCAAAAAGAGTCTTCACGCAACAATTCACCGGACTAAAAAATAATCTTGAAACCATAGTA